GTTGTTATGTGCCGTCTAGTCAGCCCGACTCATAGCGACCCCTCCTTGGGTTTCCGAGGCAGTATCACTACGGAAGTAGGATTGCCCAACCTTCCTTCCTAGGAGTGGCTAGGAAGACTAGAAAGTTTGGTATTTATTCCCTAAGGCAACTGGGAGCCATTGTAGTGACTTTAATTGTTGTTGTTGTTATGTGCCATTAAGTCAGACCGACTCACAGTGACCCCTCCTTGGGTTTCTGAGGCAGTATCACTATGGAAGTAGATTGCCCAACCTTCCTTCGGAGGAGTGGCTCATGGGTTTGAACCGTCAGCCTTCTGGTTAGCAGTCAAGTGCCTTAGGCACTATGCTACCAGAGCTCCCAGTGAGTTAATTAGGAAAGTGTCATATATTTACCAATATAATGTATAATCATTTAGCATCCACCATAAAACCCAAACCCACTGCCATCGAGCCGGATCCGACTCATAGTGACCCCTCCTTGGGTTTCCAAGGCATTATCACCACAGAAGTAGATTGCCCAACCTTCCTTCTGAGGAGTGGCTGGTGGGTTTGAACTGCCAGCCTTCTGGTTAGCAATCAAGTGCCTTAGGCACTACACCGCCAGAGCTCCTAGCATCCACCATACATTCTGGGAAATAAGATGTTATGTGATTTGGTTGTTATTGACTACCTTATATACAGAAGAGAGGCATGTAGGATGGTCACCAGTAGGCCCAGGACCCTTGCTGCCACTGCTGCACCAGGGGAATGCATGAAAACTTTGGCTCTGCTGCCACTGGTCCTGCGTGATTGCTGCCTGGTCTCTGAGAGCCATACCCAGCCCTGACACCCATGATGGGCTCCCTTTTCTTTCTGCTTCCCTGCCTGCCTTCCCCACCCACCTAATGGAGTAAGTTTAAGTCCTGCCCACCCCTCCTGTCTGCCTCCTCCCCTGGCTGCCTTTCCTACTCCTCTTCCTGCCACCATCACAGCCCAGAACACATGGCAGCTTCCACCACAGAAGGAGCCGTGCCTCCAGCCCAGCATCAATGTCAGGGTACCCTGCTGAGTGGGACAGCAACCTTGATGGGACATCCCTCCTCAGAGGTTCCTATCTAGCAGTCACTGCCTGATCTAGCTCAGTGGGACAGGGAGCCGCACTCCCTCCCCCTGCTGCCTTAGGCAGGACCCAAAATGCTAGTGGGAGACAGGACCTGGAATGCTAGTGGGAGACAGATAGGACCTCCATACTTAGCAAAGTCATCTGTTACCTCTCAGTCTCCCACAGGGATTTCTG